GATGACAGTGTGAATTAATAAAAAGTCTCATACAATTATATGCGTTCCATGCCAAAGATATTGCATCATTTGTTTCCTTATGACCCTTACATGAAACATCTGCTATAACTCCACCAGTTGTTGGATTGTGATCCTGCCATTGCCCATGAAAAGACAATAGGAATTTTGTTTGGAAAAAATAATAAATAACTGAGACCCGAAGTGGCATGTAGAGAGTTAGAATGATGAATAAAGTAAAAAGGAAAAGATCAAGCTTTTGTAAATCTATAATGGATGATTTGGGTAAATACATTGGTTTACTGTGGTATTTTGCTTGCATGATATTATATTATAGAGATATATAAAGGGAATATAAGAGCTTGGAATATTCCCCAAGAAATTACATTGATTGTTATTGTCTTCTACAACAACCTTAAGTTGTTGCTTAGCAGGAAATTAACGACATGTTGTTTAAAATTTTGAAACAAGAAAACGACATGTATTTTTAACTCAAGACTCAAGAGAAAAGATAAGCTCGTCCCCCTACTATCATATAACAGGAACTATGCTTGTCTTCGGATTAAAAAGTACAACGACATTTGAGTTACACGTATGGTTTACAATGGTCGTATAGTTACTTGTAAAAATTACGTCTTCTTTTTTATTTTTATTTTTATTTTTTGGTAATCATCAAGCTAGCGTCTCGTTTTCGTTTATTAATCGTGCAGTGTTTAGATGGAGAAAGGGAAACGACCTAAATGGCTTGCATACGTCGTTAGTAGAAAAAATAAATGTCGTCCTGTCTTGTGAATTTTCTGTGTTCTCAACAATGTCACTGGCATCATAGTTTGCATTCTAGAATTAAATTAAAACTAACTATGGACCCAAAAAAATAATAATTAAAGAAAAAGGTAACAAGAGAGAGTGATAATTTCTCATATTTAGTTGTGGTCCCGAAATATATGCCATTAAGGCAGAAAACATTACAAACAGATAATATAGATTATAGGGAGTGAAAAACGAGTTAGACATTTTAAATTCTGTTTAAAATTTTGGAAAAGAAGTGTAATTAGGCCATACTATATTAGAAGTGTAATTAGGCCATACTTTCTGATCCTTCTCATCGAGGCCACCACACTGTACACCACTACCGTTAATGAGAAACTCACGATGAAACGAGTCAGAAGACTAAAATTTTACGGCCGGGAGTCCAACAATGCACCCAGAAGCGGTGTCAAAGTTCTGGCCAACTTATACTCTCTAAGGATCTTCTCACTCTCTCTCTAACTCTCTCTCTCTTAACCAATCAAAAATAGGGATGTTAATTACAAATAAAAATGCACAGCAAAAATTTATAAAAAAAAAAACGTCAAATAAAATCAATTAAAGGAGTGTTTTTGGGTTGCCAAAAAATGTGTTTGCGGTATTAAAAAAAAAAATCACAAATGGGCCTTAAAAAAAATGAGAAGAGAAAATAAAATTTTGTGCCGGCTTAATTTGTACTGACTCAAAAAAAATAATAAAAATAAAAAAAAATTAAAAAATGCACGTTTTAAAATATGAAATAGTGATAAAAAAAATGATGCGTCAAGAATTAAAAAAAAAAAATAAAAAATAGAGGTACATACTATATAACGTGTGTGCAGAACGTGAAATGGAAAATAAGAGTGTAAAACGTAAAATTCTTTTATATAAAAGAAGTGAGTGTCGGAAAACAAAAAATCCGGAGCTTTTCATGAAAAAACGTGTGTGCAGAAGATTTTTTTTTTTTTTTTTTTTTCTGAAGATAAGTGCGTGTGTGCATAGAAGTGAAAGAAAGAGAAAAACAAAAAAAACAAAAAAAACAAAAGGTGCAGGTGTGTGCAGAAAAGTAAAGTGCAGAGAAGAAAGCAAAGAGTGTGTGTGCGGGAGACGTGAAAGGAAGAGAATATATATATATATATATAGAAAGGTGCCGTGTGTGGGAGAACGTGAGAAGAAAGAATGAAAACAAAAGGTGCGCAGGTGTGTGTGCAGAGAAGTGAGAGAGAGAAAAATATACATTCTTAACAAGGTAAATACTTAATTTGATATTTTAATCTTTTTCTATACTAATAGTTTTAAAGGATATTTAGTTATAGGATTCAAATTATGATTTAAATTATAGTTTATAATTTGTTAGTATTTTTTTTTATAAAAAATATACATAAATTAAAAATAATTCTAATCACATGATTCTAATCTATGAACCAAACGTCTCCTTAGTTTTTTATATTATAGTGCATTTAAATAAGGTTTTATATACATTTTAAAGTGTGAGATTGTGATTTACTTCTTGACATTTTCTACGAACATAAATCTTATATACGCCTTATGGTGTGAGATTTCTTATTTGTAATGCTCTTAATAAATTCCTAATGCACTCATGGTGTGTGGTTTTTTATTTTTATCACAATCTTATGATTATCACTAAAACTTGAATTTTTTTTAGAGATCTATATAAGTCAAATGTGATTTAAAAAAAAATTAAGGATTAAAAGTTTCCCAAATTATTTGTTACGATTGTTTTAAGTACAATTCGAGTGAAAAAATTCATATAAATTACACTTTATGGATCGACATATGAGAAATTATATGTATATAATTCATATAAAAATATTTATATAAATCGCACTATACCCGTCAAAAACTAATTAAAGAAAGAAGATTAATGTCTTGTTAATTTCACCGATTCGAGTTTAGAATTCGAGTTTTACTACAGTAAAAAGCTCTCAGAAATAGTCATATCTAACTTTTTTGCTACAGTAAAAAGTTCTCACATAAAATTACATCTCAACTCGAATTAAAAACTCGAATTAACGAACTAAACGGGCCTAAAAAAAAAGAAAAAAAAAAGCAAATACTCGGGTTGATAACTTTACACGCAAATCGAGAATTGATAGGAATTGATATTCACGTACACATATATATATCAAAAGGTTGCCTGCTTTGCACTAGCAGTGGTTTTTGCAGCTGCTGTGACTTTTGCAGCGTAATGATTTATATATATATAGATACATAAAAAATAAAAAAATAAAAAGGAAAACAAGCGTCACCTGGTATCTTCACAGTGCACCAAACGGCAAACACACACATATATATGAAAGCCGTGGGTGTGTGTGAGATAAAAAGTTGTGGGTGTGTGAGATATTCAGCCGTGGGTGTGTGTGTCTCGTTGTGTTGTGTGAGATACGAAGCTATATATATATATATATATACAAAACAAATCAAATCATAACAAATTCAATTCAAACGGTGAATTTAATTTTGAATTTTAAAATTCAAAAAAAAAGAGGAAAGACATTAAAGAAATTCGGAATATTAAATACCTAAAAATTTAAAGTGCACAAATTGAGCCATTTATGTCTCCTTAATTTAAAAAGTTGAGCATATTGTCTCATAAAATTATATGGTGATTAAATACAATTTTCAAATCTCAAATTCAAATAAAAAAATCTCAACACCAAATTCAAAAAGGATCCTTTTAATTCTTCATAAAGTCATATACCGGAGAATTATCCAAATACAACTTTCAAATCCAAATTCTAAAGTAAAATTCCAAATCAAATTTTAAAACATCTTTTAATTCCCCATAAGGTCATATACCGGGAAATTATCCAAATATAACTTTCAAATCTAAACTCTAAAGTAAAATTTCAAATCAAATTTTAAAACATCTTTGAATTCCTCCTATGGTCATATGTCGAGAAATTCTTCAAAATGCAAATTCAAAATCAAGAACTACGATGACTGGATGCCCTATGGGATACGTAGGCAACTTAAAAATTTAGGTGCAGTTTCAAGATCAAATTCAATCATAAAAATCCTCATAATACACAAAATCAAAACAAAACTAAATCAAATTTCAAAGTGCGTCAATTCCTCATAAGGTCATATACCGAGGAATTATCCAAAATTCTCAAACCCAAAATTCAAACTACAAGTGGCTTGATCGCTTAACGGGGTATGTAGGCAACTTGATAAAATTCACTGAGTTCAGCTGCAATTTTAAATCAACCCAAATTTCCTAAATTCACAAAAAAATAGAATTTACTGTTTTAATTGGAACCAAAATGTTTTCTCTTGTACCAAGGGATTGTAATTAAGAAGTTATTATTATAATCTTAAATGGGTCGAACTAAAAATAATAAATTTCTATGCTAATTAAATCATAGGATAGGTGAAATTATGTTGTGTGTGAAATATTATTTCAACATTAATAAATATTTTTACTCAACAAAATGTATTTTAAAAAATAAACTAAACGTGTGAAAGAAACAGTAAAAAGCTCTCAGAAAATGTTACATCTAACTTTTTTTACTATAATGAAAAGCTCTCAGAAAATATAACATCTCAACTCAAATTAAAAACTCAAATCGGTGAAATGAACGAGTCTAAGAGTCAGCCACATTTCAATTCAATAAGTCATATTGTGTAATTTTTACTTTCTGTTTTCTTTCTCTATATTTACATAAGAATATCTTTAGAAAGCCCACCCCGCCCCCCCCAAAAAAAAAGAAAAATTCAATTTCATACCCTTTAAATTCTTATTGCAATTATTAGAGCTCCCTCATAAAAATTTCCGGCTTCGGATCAACCGCCCTCCTTTTAACGGAGATGGGTGACAAGGATGGAAGGATGACCCAATTCGAATTCGGATACAACCCGATTATCATCCCTACCAAAGCCAGGCAGAAGAAGACACTGTACTGCTCGTTTGCGGAACAACTGCATGTTAATTGCTATACACCCAAAGGAATCTAAAGAAATTATAATACTAGCTAGTTAACATATACAATCTTGCATGTCATCATTACAGTATCTTTTTTTTAAAAAAAAACCCCCACTTGTGCATATAATCGTGAAACAAAAAATGTCGATGGAAAATAGTCAGACAAGGAAAAAAAAACACACACACACAAAAACCAAACCCAATCCAATGTTGTCAAGCAAATGTCTCATAAATTGGCAGAGAATCTGATCTCTAATTATACAGAAAACGTGTTATATATATAACTCTAATTATCATCGGTACTGACATGGAATATACGTGCACATGTATAAACTGAGCAAAACGCTTGCAAACCCATCAAAAGCAACATCAGAACAGCAGCCAACAAAGTGAGAAACCGCCACGAGCCAAAAACGTAAAGCTTCATGAACTTTCCGAATTTGACCTTCCACCTCCCGTTATGATACGTGTTGACATCTTCAATCACCTTATCCAAGAAGGGCACTTTGGTCAATCTAATCGACTTGCTCATCCCGTTCCAAAGGTTGGCCACCTCTTCATCACTCTTCAAACGGTTCAAAATAACGCCTCTCTCTCTAAGCAGCTTCACGTCATCCTCGGTGTCGATAATCCCGTTCATCAACTCAGTGTAACGGGTGAAAACTAACGGCCCATATGCGTTTGATGCTTCGTAGGCGATCAAGTTTCTCAAAATGGCCTCTGTGTTTACGTCTAGGCTAATGGTTGGGAGGTAAAAAATGACTGTTTTGGGGTCAAAAGTGATGGTTGAGAGGCTACCATTTGTGGGGGAGAAACGGACGCCGGATTTGGAGAGTTCAGTCACGGATGGGATTGTGATTTCTTCTATAAGTGGTGGCTTGTTGATTGTCGTTTTGTTGGAAGAGTTGTCGTTTTCTGGTTTGGCTTCCTCTTTGTTGGCTTGCGAGAAGAACATTTCAGTGGGGGCTTTGAGCATTCTCAAGCCGGGAAGGTTGGAGAGGATTGTCCAGGGAAGTTTGAGGAATACTTTTAGAGGTCTAGAGAAGAGTATTCTTTTGAGAAGACGCATTGGACCTTTGTTCAGCTTGGAGAGCACCTTCCATATAGTATGGAGGAGTTGTTTGACGGAATTTGAGTTGCCAAAAGAGCTTTCTTTATTGCCTTCTCCGTCTTCTACGACATCAATGATTTCATCGGCGTGTGCTTCGATTTTCGGGGTGATCATTTGGTACAAGAAGTCCAACAAGTGAGCAAAATCCGAGACTAGGAGTGTATTTGGTGTGTGAGGATCAACATCCATCATCTTGAAAGGAGAAAGCTCTTGGGAGAATCCTGAAAGCATGGAAAGCAACATGTCGTTGGCGGCTTCAAGAGATGAGAATTGGAATTCCAACATTTTTATCAAAACGAAAAGTGGGATTTGGTTCTCAAGCATGACTATGTCCCTTAGGATGGTGTTGTGGGCTGATTTTCTCCGGGCGTAGTCAACCAAGTGTGACATCCTGGAGGAGAGTCTCCTCAGGACTTTTTCTTCATTAAGATTGGCATAAACTTGGAGGAACTCAAGCAAGAATGAGGCGTCCATGGCCATCATCCAAGCGAGCGTTTCGCCGTTCACGTCCAAGTACTTGTGGTAACATGCCCTAATCCTGTGCTCATGCTTTGTCAACTGTTGAACAAGATCTTGGAACTTGAGGTTCTTTAGGTGCTTTTGGGCCCTTTTGGCTGCCGTTAATTTGTACCTCTCCATTTCATAGAGCTCCGGGCGCCAAAAGTGGTAAGGGCCAATCGCCACTTCTTGTGGGGTGTAGGAATCCAGATCACTAGCCATTAGGATTTTGGGCACGTTGAAAATGCTCACTGGGACTTCGCTGTCGTCCTCGAGCTCTTCTTCAAGCGTTCGGCGGATTTGAGTAACCCATCGGAGCTCGTCGAAGCTTGAGTTGGATTTGGAGGATGCTGAGTGTTGGATTGAGGACATGTTTATTGACCTTAGGGGGAAGTTTTTGGTGTATTGAGTTGTGGGGCAGTTAGAAGATCATGGCTTTTTATTGGTAAAAATTTAGTAGACAGTAGCATCATTAATCTACTTTAATTGGGTTGCCTTTTGTATTAAAAAAGGTCAATGCGTTTCTCATGGTTAATATTTTACTTCTAAATAAAGCATAGTGGTGTTAATTTTATACGCGTATATCTTTCACATTTATGACTCAGCTTAATCTACTGTAATAAATGTGATTTTCATGTAACAATTGGGGAAAAGAACTCTTTATATAAATTTGCCTAACATCAATTACATACTTAAGATGATGATAATCCAGCCACAGATCCACTTAATTTGGTTCAAATTTAAGTTTATGATTCCCTATTTTGTTTTCTTCCATTTAACACAAAGGCAACTCTGAAAACGACCGCCTAACTTTGGCACTTGCTTTGAAAGCGATAATTGTTGACATCATATAAAGACATTTTTACACGATTTAAATGGAGGTTAACATATAATGTAAAGTAATAGGAAGTTTTGAGACAAAAATTCAATCTGTTCAGACCAATGATCATTATGTCAAACCACATGGGATGAGATGGAGCGGGCTTGGGTTCAGGAGGCGCGGGTAATAAATAAATATATGTCTGGTGTCCGCTTAAATGGGGTCTTGGTGTTCAACTCGGTGGAGGGAATAGTGGGTTGGCGTATAGGCAAGACAAAGCAAAGCAAATAAAATAAATGCTAGATTATTCTTAGCCTACAGTCTCTTTTTTGCCTTTGGTTTCGGTTGCTCCTTTTTTCTTTTTCTTAGAGGGCCTTCCGGAGTGATGACTGCATCTTTGTTCGGTGCTCGTCCTTTACATAAGCATTCAGATTCTCATCAACCGAGCCTCCCCTACCCTACTTGAAAAATACGAGCGGCCATCCGAAAAACCTCGGTTCTTAGGTTTTGACCTCATATCACGTGCAAAAAAGATCGACGAATGTCAGTTAGCATGAATTCCAGCACTGTTACTGGAAGCTCAATTGCTTTTACTAGAAAATAAGATAGTCTCGTACAAAGACCATGGTACCTGACAATCTCATTTTTTGTCCCAGGTCATAGAGGATCAAATATGCACGTTGATTTTAAAACATGAAATACATGTTGAGTCTTTACACCTTCCTTGATACACAATTTATCATCAGAGTATCCTGAACCTATGTTGAAGTTTGAACAAGGGAGGAGTCGTTTGTTTAGTAACAAGACTTTCTGTTGTTCTGCTAAATGAATACTTAGCTAGTCTAGAAATTCCTTAAAATATATCAGCAGTTGATTTAATACCTCCCAAAGGTGATCTGAAATACCTGTTTTATGACAGAAACCTCATGAGACAAACCAACAGAAACATTATGCTTGTTTGGTAGGAGAGAAAAGTGAAAGGAGAGAGAGGGATGAGGGGATTAGTTAAAGTATTTTGAGATCTATGGTTATTTGGTAGGAGAGAAATCAGAAGAGTGGACAGAATAGATTGGATGAATGATTTAAATCCTTCATAAAACCTTAATTTAAATCTCTCTTTATATGAAGGGATTAAAAGAGAGAATCCATGCCAAACACAATACGAGAAAGGTCCTTCCATTCCTCACTTTCTCCTCACCTAAGTTATATGCCTTTTTTTTTTTTTTTTCTCTCTCTCTCTCTCTCTCTCCCTCATGACAAATAGGCTGCTTGCTATTTCTATAACCTTCTTCCACGCACCCTGATTGATCCACTACCAAAATATAAAATAAAATAAAATCATCAAAATAAAGTAACAAAAGCATTTGATCCATAGACAATCAAATGAAATCACAGTGTTTGGACTGTCTGCAGCTTGTAATATTAGTTCAGTTTTGTAATTCTTACTTGAGCTAATAAACACATAAGTACCACATAGATGACAGAGCATTTAAATGTAAAAGATTTACAGCAGTCCCTAAATTACTCTCTTTTTTTTTTCTTCTTTTTGACAATTAACTGGTGTAGTTCTCATTGTTCGACATCAATTGACTACTAAGAAATGTAAAACTGCACATACAAATTCCAACAGATGAAGGGAGCCCCTGACATGAGCGTGACCAAGGTTGTTTACAGGGAAAACAAAGACTTACAAGCTTCAAATTCTTCCGCAGTGTATTTCCAAGGACACATAAAAATGCCGTAACCCAACCTTAGGTAGCAGAACAAAATGAACCAAAACACAAACTCACAAAACACTTGAAGAATCTAGTCTTAATTTGGAATTTTCGTATCAAACATATTCTCATAAGTATTACATAGCGAGAGTTATCAGCTCCAAACCCAGCTCCATGGCCAAGGTACAACCTCTCCCTTCGTTTCTGGGTACTTTCTCTCTGTGGTTCAACCCCAACAACTCAACACTTCCATTGCCTTTCTAAATTTTCTTAAATTGAAAGAAGGCTGGAAATGAATTAAAAGTAAACTTTAACTAGCTCAATCATACAACTATGAATCTCATCCTTGTCACAGGTTTTCACGTTTAGAAGAAATTCCAGTCAGAATTTCCAATCAGGTTTTAATAAACAAAACAAACATGTTGTTTGAAAGAGTTTGAACGTCATACCTGGCATCGAATTTCTCTTCAAATACGCCCTTAACATGTTCTCATTGTAAACATGAATCCATAAGCCCCTAATTTCAGATGCCACATGTTAGCTTCTATACTCTTGGCTCCAATAGTCTGAGGTTGAAGCCGTGCAATCTTCTAGCAACCTGCCTATGTATTCCTCAACCATCCCTCTAAAAAATGTCATTACTCATCATTCGATCATTCATCAGTTACCAGTCTTGTCCCCAACTCCGCCCTTGGCTTGGGTGAAAGACCCTTTGCCAACATCTCTTCGTCATACTTTCTAGCCATGTCTAACATCCCCTTATCAATCAGAGCATCAATCAGAGCATTGTAAGCGGCATCATTCGGACTGCACCCGAGTTCCTCCATCTTTTTCCACACAACAAGAACTGGCCGAAGAAACCCCCATCTCCCAAACTTCCTCATAAGCATCACATAAGTGTCCGTCCTCGGCCTAATACCACTATCAATCATCCTATCAAACAGTCTAAGAATCTCTTTCGGCTTCTCCATAGACCCGAAAAAGCAATGATAAGTAATCACATCCGGCGAACAACCCCACTCAGGCATTTTATCGAGCACCTTCGAGGCTTCCCTGTATCTCCCATTTTCACACAAAAGCTTTATGAGTGTGTTGTAAGTTACCACATTGGGCTGACAACCCAGCTCCCTCATCTCTCTAAGCACCCGCATCGAAAAATCGACGCCTTCGGAGAGACCAACCGCTCGAACAATGGTGTTATACGCCACCACATCCAATTTGATCCTTTTCTTCTTCATCTCCTTATACAATTTCACAGCCTTCCATGGCTTCCCACTCTTGCACAATATATCCATATATATAGAATACGTATGCAAATCCTTTTCCAAACCTCTCCTATCCATCTCCTCCCAAAAGTCCCCACACTTACTCCACCACCCCACTCTAGACCACCCACGAAGAATCATATTATAAATCTTCGTACTCTTTTCGAACCCCAATTCCTTGCCATTCCAAAAGCACAAATCTTGCGCCTCAATAACGTGCTTCTGATCACAAAGCGCGTCAATAAGATTAGAATACGTCGTCTCGTCCTTCAAACCGAACTCCTCCGACCGATTATAAGCCTCGACGGCTTCTTTCACGAGATGAGCCGCGGCGTAACGGTGGAACATGACGCGAAACGTGGCGTGGCTCGGGACGGAAACTGGGTTTTGGTTCATTCGGTGGATTAAGTCCCAGGAGAGATCGAACTCAAAGAATTTGCCGAGGATGTCGAGCATTCGGTTGTAGGTGTCGGTGGTGTGTAGGAAGCGGCAGTTGGTCTCGACCCACGTGAAGAACTCGAAGGCGCGTTGCCAATCGTTGCAGTACGAGGTAAGAGTTTCCGTGACAGTGTCGGAATTGAATTGGAGAGAGTCGGATTGGGGGGGTTTTTGTGGGTTGGTGGAGAAGGACTGAGTTGCAGAGGAGACGAGGAGGGTTTGGGTGCGAGGGAGAAGAAGTAGGCTTCTGAGGCATCTCGAGGTTAGGGAAGAAGCCATTTCTTCGTCTCTCTCTCTCTCTCGTGTTTCTGCTTAGGAATACTTAAAAGGTCGTTTATGGCTTGTTGTCGTTTGTTTATTAATTTGAGGATGTTCTATTTCCTGTCGTTTGACGTAAGTTAATTTAGGGAAGAATAACTAAAAGGTGTTTTGTCAAAATACCACTTCCAGACCCGAGACGTTCAACCATCAATGCCGGCTTGTCTGCAACTCAACACCAAGACGTTCAGACCCGTTTTCCTACCAAACTCCGTGCCCAAATTCTCCGCCGCCAAGGCGAGTAGGATCAGATGCTCCGCAGCCTCACCATCGTAGCGCTACACCATCACTTTGCTGCCCGGCGATGGCATCGGCCCCGAGGTTATCTCTGTCGCTAAGAACGTTCTTAATCTTACCGCCTCTCTCGAAGGTCTCCCACACTCTCTCTCTCTGTTTCTCTCCAGAATTCCATTGTGATATTCTGCTTTTGTTTGGTAGCCTAGGAAAAAAAAAAGAAAAAAGAAAAGAGGAACGAGTACTTTTAGATTTTTTTATTACTTTTTATTTTTACATTTTCATCGACTATAAAAAGAACCAAGAGACAGAACTAAGTTTTAATTTAGGCTATGCTTTACTCAGAAATGTGGTAAAAGTCTCAGACATTAATTTTCCTTTTGTGTCTGTTCATCATTCTGCATTTTCTCGTTAGCCAAACGGAGTTTCAAAATTTTTGCAGTGTTTTTCTCGAACATTATAGTCCTTTATTTGTTGAGGCACAGAAAAACTTGGCATTTGGCATCTTTATTTTCATGCATTATCTCAATGCTTGAACATAGTTGATAATTTCTTGACGGTTGTTCCCGGGTTCGTGGAGAACATCCGCATGCCATATGTTAGAATGTATTGTAAATAAGATCATAAAGATTTATATAGATATAAATAAATATAAATTGTGGGGAATAACCACATGCCATATGCTAGAATGTATTGTAAATAAGATTATAAAGATTTATATAGATATAAATAAATATAAATTTACATATGGCACTCATTAGTATAATAAACCAGAGAAAATGAAATATCAAGCATACAATACCTGTGTTTACCTTGGAAGATTAAGGATGAATATTTAAATCATGAACCGAAAGACAATCAATTTACAGAAACAATTGTCATGAAATCGTATGGGGAAGATGTAATTCTCACAACCGATGGTGGTCTAAATCAATAATTGGGGATGGTTACTCCATGTTTACCAATCAGTTTTGTATGAGCAAACTTCTGTCTCTTAATTATTTTAGACTACGTAAACTCCTTAGATTATTTTAAGTTATTTTCATGTTTTCTTGCTTGAAGGCTTGTCTGATTGTATGTAAAGTTTGAATGCTTGTGGATTGCTTGTCAAATCTAAGAAAATGTTTGTGAAATCTCAAGAGTTGTGAAGCCTCCAAAAATGTATATGATGTTTTAGAAACTTGTTAAGGCTCCAAATGCCATGCCTTCTTAGCATGTCCTCCCCTCTATTTATAGCTTTCCAAACACCATGGTTGCCAACTTATTGTTTTACCAGTCACCATTCAAATAGTTGTTGAATTCTACTCTCCTCTCTCACTATTCAATATAGATGAATTACATAATTCTACTCTCCCTCTCTCTTATTGTTTTGTCATGCTAAGTTTCTTTAATGGCTTTTGTTTACCACTCTGCACTTGATAGAAGACTTTTATTAGCCTCACTCGATAATACTAAACCTTTCCCTTTCCCATGAGCTAAATAACTTTATTCTCACCCTCCATTATTTTTTTATAATGCAACCCTAGTGCTTACAAAGCTTGTTAGGTACAATTGTATCATGTAGCACAATATTTCATATTGCACCATTGTACTATGGAGTAGCACTAGTCTTTTATATAGCTAATTTGGTAACATGAAGCCTTTGATATTACTAATTTAGTGCTCACCGGTATGAGTCCTAAAAGGAAATATTAAATACAATTCTACTATACCACATCCCACAACATTATTCTCTGATTTTTATTCCATCCCCATCATATAGAAAAATGCCCCAAAACAACTGTTTAGGTTTTTTTTTAAAATTTTTTTTTTAAGATGTTTCTACAATTAATGCCTAATTGTATGTTTTATGTAAATAAGGGATTGAATTTAGGTTCCAAGAGATGCCCATGGGTGCACCTGCCTTGGACTTGACTGGCGTCCCTTTACCGGAGGAGACCTTTCCGTGGCGAAGCAATCTGATGCTGTTCTTCTTGGAGCAATTGGAGGGTAATTTTCTTCACTTTCTGATTTTTTTTATCTTATGAATTTGTGTGTTCTTTCATGTGCGAATGGTGTGGTTTTATTAATTTTCTTGATTCATAAGGTATAAATGGGACAAAAATGAACAGCATCTGAAACGCGAGACCGGGTTACTTCAGATTAGAGAAGGCCATAAAGTTTTTGCAAATTTTTGACTGGCAACCATTTTACCACAGGTGAAATACCTTCCCTCTTGCTAAGGGAATTTAGTGAGAGAAGGGTCTAGTGCAGTTTTCTCTCTATTGTTTTTTCCTTGGTGTTTTAAGCTCTTAAAATTGTCTGGTTATCTTGGTAATCAATGATTGCGAGGAAAAAAAAAAAAACACCATATTGCAGGTTATTATACCCAAAAAGGAGGAAAACGCTAATAAAAGGAACTACCTCAAGAGTATGTTTAGTTTCATCAAATATTTTTGTTTGATGAAACTTGTTCTGATGAAAGAGGCTTAGCATACATCTTTGTGCTTCTTTTAATTTTAAACTTGTTCTGATGAAAGAGGCTTAGCATGCATTGTCATTTACCTTTTCAGTTGGTGGACGCTTCGACTTTGAAGAAAGAGGTTGCGGAAGGTGTTGATGTAATGGTTGTAAGAGAGCTCACTGGAGGTTAGCATACATCTTTCAACCGACAATTACGTGTTGGCTTTACTTCTTTAATTTCTCTCCTTTCTTTCAATTGATTATTTCAATCTAGTTTCTGATAAAAATAGGTATATATTTTGGAAAGCCAAGGGGATCTGGAAAAAATTAAAATGGCGAGGAGATTGGATTCAATACTGAGGTGAGGTAGAAGATGCATGTGTGCTCTAGTTACGCTGTTCTAAACTCGTGGGGATTTTCCTGATAGGACACAATCTTCCTTACAATTATCATCACACATCCGGTGACTGTCTGATTTCACATTTATTATTATGGCTTCTTATTTTTCCCTGGACCAATATTTTTTCTGGTCCTTGCTAGAATGTCCGTGGTGTATGGCTTAAGGGATCAAAATAGCTTTATTTTTACTTTATTTTTTCTTTTTTGGTTTGCTTTATCAAATCTGTATTGAGTTAGGCATAGATGGATGTCTAATGTCAAATAATTGTTTGTTAGATTGAGCGCATTGCCCATGTTGCATTTGAGACTGCCCGGAAGAGGCGGGGAAAACTTTGCTCCGTTGACAAAGCAAATGTGTTGGAGGTACTTTTTTTGGTTGACACTCTTTACTTTTCTGAAATGACATACAAAGTGTTCATTGTGAAATTTCTATTGTCTGTTGTTATTTTTAACGCTGTATCTGAAATGTTGTCATATTTGTCATGAAATTTATCTGATTCAATGGATTCTCTAGGCTTCCATGTTTTGGAGGAAATGTATTGTGGAAATATCCTCGGAATATCCCGATGTTGAACTCTCACACATGTATGTTGATAACGCTGCAATGCAGCTTGTTTGCAATCCAAAACAGGTTTGGCTTTGGCTTTATAAACTCCCCAGGGTTATGCTTCTCTTCATTTTCTATTGTTTTGAAGCTTGCTTGGTTAGAGTTATAAGTCTTCTGATGTTTTGCTATGAAATAATTGCAGTTTGATACAATTGTAACAAACAACATATTTGGTGACATCTTTTCTGATGAGGCTTCAATTATTACTGGAAGTATTGGGATGCTTCCATCTGCTAGTCTTGGGGAATCGGTAAGGCATAGGATTTATATTGTCCAGTTGTTAAGCTTTTATTGTGCCAGATAGATATAAAACAGTTCCTTTTGGGTTTTGTTCTGAGAGAGTCTGCGTGTTTTTTTTTTTTTTTTTTAAATTTCTAAATTGAAATTATCCATTTGGTACAGGGACCTGGACTTTTTGAACCTACACATGGCTCCGCTCCTGATATTGCTGGGCAGGTTGGTCTGCCTTTTGCATCGTATTTTCTTTTCCTATTTTCCTGAAGTTACATGTCTTTAATGTATACAATGGATTATTCCAGGATAAGGCAAACCCATTAGCAACAGTGCTCAGTGCTGCTATGCTATTGAAGTATGGACTATGAGAAGAGAGTGCTGCTAAGAGAATTGAGGCTGCTGTTCTGGACACACTGAATAGGGGCTTCCGAACAGGTTACATATTCATCTAGAACCATAAGTTGATTTCTAATTTCCATTTATTCCTCACTTTGTCTTCCATAAAGTTTTTAGAATGGTAAAACATACGTAAATACTCTGTTTTAGTTCTGTGAAGTGACAGTGTAAATACTTTTTTAATTGCCTTAGTTTCAGCCTTAAATCTAGTTGTTATTTCTTTTACCGTAACATCTAATGCAGGCATATTGTCCGCACATGTTTTAGCACATTTTATAGTTTGAATTAATATTTTGCTTGATTGACCATTAACGACGACTTTTGGCTTATACAGAAGTTGGTAGGATGCAAAGAAATTAGGTGAAGAGGTATTGAAGTCAGTAGAGTCCCAAGTACCTGCTTCTGTATGACCTGATGAACCAAATTAGCACCAACAAAGAATCAGTATGGTTCGCAACTATTTATTTCTTCCTTGTCTAAGGCTCTCTATACAATGAAGTAGCTTTGATGATCAGCTAAAGACACCTTTTTAGATTTCATCAAATTTGAATTTGTTTTATCGAACTTTTTTCCCGTTTTGAAGTTTTTCATTTTCTTTGGATTCAATGTTCTCTAATCTTAATTTCTCGTTTTGACGCTTTCCAACTGTTGTGTCATATTAATATTTATGTTTTCTGCTTCTTGAATAATCCTTAGAATCCTTCAATTAAGGGAGGATTGTTGTAGCTTGAGAATGTTAAAAGTTTTTTTGACGGAAGAATGCTAATGTTAAGACTTTAGCCGTAGAGACGTGTCATGATGAGTAATGCCAGACCAAGAAACTGTTGTTTCGTCCATGAATTTATAAATGGAGAAAAGACTTCGTTCGATACTTGTTTTTCCTTCTAAAGCTACTGATGAAGCTCAGTATTTCCACTCTTGCTTTACCTATGTTTTTTAGATTGTTCACAATTTATTTATTTATTTTTATTTTTTGCTAAAAAGATATTCCGTTCCACCGAAAACGAAGAAACCACCAACAAAGGACAAACCATCAACAATGGACAAACACAGCACGAACAAACCAAACAGACCCAGGGCAACTAACAGCAACTAACAGAAGCCCGTCAAGTCACTTACCAAAAAAAAAAACACAACAAAAACACTAAAAGAGACACTACAAACTCGACTACTGAGGCCCATTCAAGAAGAATCATTCTGTTAAGATTCTGGTTGAGTTTCGCATTGTTAAAGTATGAGTTTAGCATATGGGTTTATAACCACTTGGGCACCCTCTTCTTATAAGCCAGTTTTGGGAGATGAGTTCTACCCAAGGATTATAACAATTGGTATCAGAGCATGTCCCTCCTCAAGCCCACGTTGCGGAAGGGGTGACCTGGAAAGGCCAGAGTGGGCCATCCAGAGTGGGCCGCCATGGACATCGGTGTCGGAAGCGTAGTGGTATGTTAGGATCCTGGTTGAGTCTCATATTGTTAAAGTACGAGCTTAACATGTGGGTTTATAACCACTTGGGCATTCTCTCCCTACAAGTTAGCTTTTGAGGATGAGTTCTACTAAATAGTTATAACACACTCCTCATAGTCATTTAGTACATCAATAGGAATGTTTGCCAAGGGAATAACTCCTGACAGAAGACTTAACAACACCCACTGCACCAAATTTTGGCTCGCAAAGTTAGCCCTTCTACCGATCCAAAAGAAGTCAATATAATTAAAGGCCCGCTTGAGGTAGTCACAGTCTACTTTGATGTTTTTAATGATCCACGAACAATCTTCTAAGGAGCCTGAAAGACTCTTAATGGTAATGGCCGAGTCACTTTCAACAACAATTGATGAGAACTTAGCATTTACAGATGTCCTTAAAGCGAACTGAACAGCTTCCAATTCAGCAATCGAAGGCTCCCGAGTATTGTGCAAACTTGCGGCCGCCAACACCACCCATCCTGATAAGAACCAAGAAAAGATTATTATTGAAAACAAGAACTAGACTTGATTACAAGATATATTTGTAGACTTTTGAGAGGTCTGCTAGCTCTCCCAAGAGTTTTTTCAGTTTACTCTAATCAATTCCCTAATCCCCCCAAATGCTAGTACCTCTTTTTATATTACTAATACCCCTCTAACAAATTGTACTAATACTCTTTTAATAAACTGCTAACACCTAGTAATATAATACCCTTATAACAAACTGTTGACAGCTATTACTACAATATAACAACTTCTACTATCAAACTAACTATCCAGGACCATCATTAATGAGTCCTATCATTACTCCCCCAGAAAAAACACCTTGTCCTCAAGGTGTTAATTAGGTAATTGCACTTGAATGATGTCATCTTCTTCCCATTTTAATGCACGTGAACCTTGGAACGTCAAAGGTAGCAACAATTCCAAGTCTGCCCTTTGTGAAATTTCCAATTCCAATTCCTTTCAACCCCCGTTCTACCACCCCACTCTTTGTAGATCCAATCCCAATCGGACCAAAATAAGAAGACCTAGTCCAAATGTCACTGGAATTGTCCTTAATCGCGTTGGAAGTGTGCAACCCAACTTTAACGACATCGGAACCAACCCAAATCACGCCGGATTTGAGAAACCCTATCCTTGGCTCGCCGGAATATGCCCTAATCGCACCACAATCACGAAGCCTAGCCCCAATTGTGCGGAAATCAGCCCCAATCACGCCAGAATCATGGCACCCAGTCCAAATCCAGCTGGTATTTCGGAACCCAGCCCAAATCTTGTTGGAACTCATGTTGCATATCCATGACCCAGCCTCTGTCATGCTGGAATTCCAAGACCCAATCCTAATTGCTCCGTAATCATCCCTCATGACCCTTGGATTCCAAGTCCCAGCCCTCCCATCGAGAGACCCAGCCCCCAAATCGCCATAATTGATCTTAATCGCGTCGGAATTGCAAATCCCAGCTTTCATGGCGTCAGAACTAGCCCCAAGTACACCGGAATCGTGAATCTCATCGCTGACAGTGCTTGATTCCATCGAAACTCCAGGCAAATCTTTTGGGTCAATCATCGGATCGTCGTTTTCCCCTTCTGCTGGTGAACATAGACACGAATTCAGCTTTTTGAGTTGTTGCCCACTCAGATCTAATCGCAGATCATTACACATACCAGTTCGCAGCTCATATGGCATTGATCGTTGGCGGTGTTCATCGGGTTCTGTTCGCGTTTCCTCTAGCGTCCCTCGTCAAATTCGGTCTTCTAGATTTGGTCGCGAACCTCCAAAAACCCCAAGATTTGAAACTCTAGGATATGAAAACCTAGATTTCGACTCCAGATCGTCGTTCATCTTGCAATCTGATAACTCTTGACGTCGATCTGCTGCTAAGGTCGACGCCGTCGCCGCTCCAAATCTCACCTCCAGCCTCTTTAGAAGTTGCTCCACGTTTTGAACCATGGCTTCAACCTTCGCAACAGAACAGTTTCCCTTTGCTGGTTGAAAACATTGAAACAAATGCGTCTTAAAAGCACTCCAACAAACGAATGGCCGCCTTCTATCCTCCCATTGAAACCACTGAAGAGCTTTACCTTCCATGAACTCCCCAATGAACATCATTTTTTCTTGCTCTGAAGATCGATTTTTCAAGAAATATTCTTCTACTCTTTCTATCCACACACTGGATCTTTTCCAAAAAATATTGGCTTCTCTAATTGCTGCCAACGTCCATATGTTCTCTCAATTTTCTCTGAATTTCGCCCAAGAAAGTGCTCTGATACCACTTGATAAGAATCAAGAAAAGATTATTATTGAAAACAAGAACTAGACTCAATTACAAGATAGATTTTCAAACTTTCGAGAGATTTGCTAGCTCTCCTAAGGATTTCCCCAGTTTACTCTAATCAATCCCCTAATTCTCCTCTCCCAAATGCTAATACATCTTTTTATATTACTAATACCCCTCTAACAAATTGTACTAATACCCTTGCTGACAACTATTACTATATTATAACAACTTCTGCTATCTAACTACTCAAGACCATCATTAACGAGTCCTATCACATCTATCGGAGTTTCTCCACACTGTGGCTACCACCGTGCTTGTAGGACCCAAGGAGCAACAACGTTAGCTTTGATCCACCCCGGAGGAGAAGTCTGTCAGCTTCCTGTTATATTTATCCGATTTGCTCCCGGGGTTAAGAGAGTGATACTCATTGCTTTGTAATACATCATCTCTATAATATAAACTGTGTGAGGGTTGAAGTGTTTCCCACTAAACACCTTGTCGTTTCTAGCTTTCCAAATAGTCTCCACCGCACAAGAATCAAAGAAGAGGAATTCACGCGTACTTCTGAAACTTTGATCTCCAAAAAGGATTAGCTGTAGGAAATCTTTCATAGATGTGCACTGACGCGCATCTGATCTAAGACTCCACTTGGACTGGAATCAAATTAAACGGGCAAACCTGCAAAACAGAAAAATGTGAGTAGTGCACAATTTGATTGATGAACATGAATGCATGTGTAGAGCTTGCAAATAGCATTGGAATTGCAACTGAATCGTCAATATATTGGTTTATAGAAGTATGACTTATTCATATTCTGTGAAAGTATGGCTTATACATGCACAACTTCGACTATATGACTCATTGGAGTACTTCTTGTTTCTCTTCTTTTTTTTTTTTTCCCCCCCTCTCTCTTTCTCTCTTTCGAATTACAAGAACATTGGTCACTTGTCAAGCAACTAATGTAATCCAAGAATTTGGGTTCTAATATTAGAAATTAGAAAACAAAAAACAAAAGATAATCAACAATCAACACGGTGGTTTAAGAGCCTAGGCTAGCAGTAAAGAGTGCTAGTTCAAACTCACTTTTCTTTTTTAAAGGAAACCGAAGAAGATAAATAAATTAATTAAAAAAAGTTTTTCTTAAAAAAGAGGAGAGAAGAAAGAAAGCGAAGAGAAAAAAGAAGAAACATGCGAAGGAAAGTAGACACCTGTTACTGACGTGTCGTGTCCGTAACGTTTCCGGGTTCCAATTAAAAAATATCGACCGCACTGAATCCCATCTCCCCATCCCTTCTGTTTCTCCACATAAAAAACAAAGCTCCCGCTAAACTCGAAGAGAGAAACAAGCCATTAATTACTCCGACTGTCTGACATCCAGCCATCTATTTCTATGTCAATAAGTTCGAGCACAGTAGTCGCCGGAGCCACGGCCGACGACGTTTTCCGGCAGACTCCAGACACGATCTCCGGCGAGCCTTTCGATTCTTCCTCTTCTTCTTCAATCTCCAACATCACGCAAGCCTTCCCTTTCTCTTCTGGAAACCCTAGAGTCGAAGAGACCAGAGGCGTCATGCATCTCTACCGCGACGACGTCGTTTCCGCCTCCCCCTCCGTTCTCCCCGTAAGTTCAGCCATCTTTCCTTTTTCATCTTCAATTGCATTCGAGCTCGTATCGGCTCATTTGTTCTTCAGAAATTTCTTTTTTTTTTTTTTGAGAAAAAAATAAATTTGGAATTAAGATTTTCCTTGGTTCATCATTTTCTGTTCAAATTCGATTCTCATTTCGCATGGAAATGGAAAAGATGCCAATACTGTTGCTTTAGAATGTTTAGTGTAGATTTTTGTTCTGTTATTTATTTAATTTCTGTTTTTTCCCCTAAAATATTACGTGATGCTTTTGTGAAGTCGAGTTTCAACTTTAAAGTATATTTCCATTTTACTTAGGTTGAAAGAAAATCTCTCGTCTGTGTTCTTGGAGTTCCAAATTACATGACGTATGCAGATTTCTGCCAGTTTTGCGGTTCATTTATTCAGCACATTTTGGAGATGCGGATTGTCAGGTTGAATTTTGGATCATGTCCTGGTTTTTAGTATTGATTATAATTAATCTTCATATATATTGATTTTTTCCCCATGTTTGTAGAAACGACGGAATGGAAGATCGTTATAGCATTTTGATTAGATTTGATAGTCAGGACTCTACCGATAATTTTTACAAGCACTTTAACGGGACTCGGTTCTCATCTCTAGAGGTATTCCTCAGTTTCATTATGCTAATTTTTGCACACTAGCATGTTTGTAGTTCTGTGCGCAAGTTACTCAACCCGGAACAGCTTACTTATCATCTGTTTGGCTGTCATGTATGTGAATATAGGCGGAAGTGTGTTGTGTGCTTTTCACGGTAGATGTGCAATACACTGGTTCAATTGAACACACACAGGCATCCCCCGCAAGCTCTGCGGAGCAGCCCACTTGTCCAGTTTGTCTTGGTATGTTTTCCATTTTGGGTTTAGAATTTCCGAATTTTCTTTTTTGGTAACGTGGTGGGAGTGTATCAAGTGCAATTTTTGTCTAGAGCTGATATATCCATAAAGTGTGGTGAACATATAAGCCTCCTGAACATCTAACTACATGTGTACACGTGTTAAATTTTATGTTTTTCTTTATTTCTTTGTTGTGATGTGTTTATCTTAAAGGATTCATATGTTGCAGAGAGATTAGACCAAGACACGAGTGGAATTCTCACAACCATCTGCAACCATTCTTTTCATTGTTCTTGTATCTCAAATTGGACTGATTCATCTTGTCCGGTAAGTGTTTTTGTTTTGTGGTTGCAGTTCTCTATCCATTTTCACGTGTTTCTGTGGCGTGAGTGTGCCGTTGTGCATGCATGATATGGGGGCTTTCACCAGATCAGACAGTGCCAAATCAATTGCCTTTAATTTCCTTTTGTCGATTTCATTAGGTTTTAAATGCTATAAGTTATAATTTGCTTACCTGTGTTCTCTTCAGGTATGCCGATATTGTCAGCAGCAGCCTGAAAAATCGATTTGTGCTGTTTGCCAAACTTCTGAGAATCTCTGGATGTGTGTTATCTGTGGGAATGTTGGCTGTGGGAGGTAATAAGTTCTCTATCACATTTCTCTTCATCTTTCCCAGCTTTAGACCCACTTAAGGGCAATTCTGTAGGCTTTTGTTTTCCAACCCTTTTGGTCCTTTCCTTTTATTTGTTTATTTGTAGTGCAATTGCTCATTTGAAAAGTTGTGTCATAGGTACAAAGAAGGACACGCCATAAGACATTGGAAAGAAACACAACACTGCTATTCTCTTGAATTGGATACACGACGTGTGTGGGATTATGCAGGAGACAATTATGTTCACCGTCTAATACAGTCTAAAACTGATGGAAAGTTGGTTGCGCTGAATTCTCATTGTCACCATACTAATGATGGGTGTGGAAGCTGTGACTGTGTTGATTCTGAATTTAGTGACGCTCTTTTGAACAGTAAAGTCGAAGCTGTAATGAATTTTGTTTTGTTCTGTCTTTTCTCACTTTAAGTTATGACTTTCTTTTTTGTTATTTCATTTTTATTTTTTTGGGTATTACGCCCATACCTATAATTTTAAGTTCTGTCTGCAGATTGTTAACGAATACAATGAACTGCTTACCACCCAACTTGAGAACCAAAAATTAGTAAGTTATTTCTTCAATTTTCGTTGAGAAATTTTCTTTTTTTGTCTGAAGTCACTTAACCTTATTTCACCATCACATGGTATGAGACTTCTATTACTTGTCGATGGTGATTAGTTGATAGATCATAGACATGAAGTTCAATTTTTGTTGATTCATTGAGTGCATTTTGTAAGCTGCGAATATAATGATATATTTTTTAACCCAAAAAACATGGAGGTGGAACGATGACCTCTGTTTTGATTGCAGTATTTTGAATCTTTACTGGAAGATGTCAAAGAAGAAAATGAAAGGGAAATTTCTATTGCTGTGGAGAAAGCCTTGGCATTGAGACTTCAGAAGATGCAGGCCAAGTTGGATAGATGTCTTAAAGAAAAGAGTATTCTTGATGATGTAAGTCTTGGCTTGTTGCAAATTTCACGTGCTTAAGTCTATTTGACATTGTTATTTGAAATTCTACGTTTTTATCTAAGATGTACCTTCTAACCATATTCTCATTTCTTCATGCAGCTCAATGAGAATCTGTTGAAAAATCAGGAGATTTGGACAGAGAAGATAAGCCAAATTGAAGAGAGGTCTTACTCTGCCCCTATTATAAGTTTTTCCTTTGTTGACCAGGAAATTGAGGAAAATATTTTAAATCCTGTAGTACCCTTCAAACCGTAACCAAATACAACCTAAACACGTTTCGTCTTCATTCTCTTCCATTCTTGTCGGTTCCGTTGCATGTGGTTGATGTTAGGGACCTCGCAGTAGGCTGCTGTGCCTCGTGGAAGATCAAGCGTGAGGCAATCTCTCCTCACCGCCTCGTACAGGTTCCGTGCAAGGGAGCTTGCCTCGTTGGTGTGAGACTCTTACCAGATCTGTGCACGGGAGTTTGCCTCGCATTCTGATGATGCCCAGAGCACAACCTCCCACGAGAGCCATGCGAGGCACCTCTGGAACGCTGGCTTTTTTTTTTTTTTTTTTTTGGCATTTGTGGTGGCTGGTTCTTGGTTTGTTGTTTGGTTCTAATGTTAAGCTGCTTCCGTGAAGAATTTTGGGTATAATTTAGATGCATAGTTTTGATAATTTATGGTCAAACTAGTCTTTTCATGACCTAATTAAACACCAAGTTATTATTATTGCTAGTTGGTATTAAACACCAAGTTGTTGTCGTCGTCATCTTCTGCGTTAATGTGGAACTTTTCTTACTTTTGCAGGGAGAAAAGGGCTTTGAAACTGAAGGATGACAAAATTAGGGCCTTGGAGGAACAGGTAATACGACAAAATGCTAGACGAACCAGACAGCCTTTAAGCTCTGGTGGCTTTCACAATTTTATAGGAGCTATATAAACTCATGGAACTTCCACTGCTATGTTTGACATGTTTTACAGCTTCGGGATCTGATGGCGTACCTGGAGGCAGGGAAGACGATGGAGCAACTATCAATGTCCGACAAAATTAAGGACGGCACTGTCTTGTCTATACCAACAGAATCGTCTTCTAGGAGTGGCTCAAAGGCTACTAATAGCAGGAGAAGGAGCTAAGGGAAAGGTTCCGAAGGATGGCTGGTTCCAATTGTTTCCTTTGACACAAGTTTTGCATGTGCTACGATCTTCCGTCAACTTGAAACCTTTGAGTCCCCTCTCTCTTATAACTTCACTCAAGCTGGACCAAAAGAGATGTTATGTATAATTCCCATGTACAGCTACTGGTTTTTTTATCTTTTCAAGCTCGCTTGATATGGTGAAATATATTGAAGATTCTTTATGGTCAATGCAATATGGATGGTGGTATGCAATATGGATGTTGTTCGTGATGGAAAGCACAAGGGTTTCGAAATGTATAAATGATTCCGATATATGATTATTTCAAGTTGTTTTCATTTACCTTCTTTGTAAGATTGTTGTGTGCTGTATGTTTTTTGTATCGGGCGTGTCATTTTGACTGGATTCTTACTTCTTTATTTTTATTTTTTATTATTTTATCTCTTTTTTAGTAAAATACGAGCATATATTCCGTGCGTTGCTGCGGAATACAGTATTGTATTATATAATAACTGTATTTAAAATATATTTATATATATATACATGTATTATACAGTATTGTATTATATGATAGATATAACATTTGTACAAACATATTTATACAGACATATATAGTACTATTATTTATAATATTTATATATATACAGATTGTACAAAATAAAAAATAACGTTGTTGTGGTTCTTGAGCATTTCATTTCTTTCATCTGCAAATATAAAAATGGAAAAATTGGTTGTAAATATAAGTGTTAAGAAAAATAAAGATGGTTAAATTATATAGTATGAAATAAATATTATAAAAATATTTATATTACCTTGTTTTTGGATGTTTTGCAGATTGTCTTGTTGTTCTTGATTCAGGGCTGAAAAAATGGAATAATTTGTAGATATGTTTTTAAATTAATTGATAATATTTATTGTGTTGAATGTGGCTAACCTTGTACCGGATTTTTTTGGTGTTGGAGTGTGTGGATCAAATGTGGTTGGTGTTGATAGTTGTGATGATGGTATTGCATGTGGGCTGAAAAATGAGAAGATTTTTAAAATTGTGATTAATATAATATAAATATTATTTATGTATAGTTGATAAAAAATTTAAAAAACATTATTTACCTTTGTGGATATTCTGTTCCTACAGTTAACTGTTTTGGTGGCGATGATGGAACATGGATGTCTTCAAATATTTTGGAAATTAATGTGCTCATTTGGGTGCCTCGTTGTTGAAAGAAGACTTGGAAGATTTTTTATTGTCCTCGGATCTGATCAATAGCTGGTGGTATTATAAATGGATCGGAAAAGCCTTCGTCAATTGTTAGTGCAGAACATGGTTTTTTTTATTAATGCCTGAGCGGTTATGCCAAAAGCGATAACTTCCATGTCTCCAGTATGATCTTCAATTTGGATTGTTAATCTATACCTGTAAAATATATATAAATATTTTTTTAATGTTATTAATTTTTCGTTAAAGTAAATAAAGATATATAATAAATAAAAATGGTATGGTAATAAATTTAATTACCATGGAGATGATGTTGACTTTATGGTGTTGACTGCCGCACCATCAACCTATTCTTGCCTGTTTTAGTTGTCGATAACATCTGGGAAAAGAATTGTAGAACCATCATTGAGATGTTGAAAAGTTTACTATGGTCGCTCTTACAGTGATTTTCCACCATGCATAAAAGATAGAATATTGTGGTTTTAAATTTTTTACTAAGTGTAGTAAAAAAATAATAGGAAAGTTAATAGTACTAACCAGATTATTTTGTGTATCCAATGTTTTGAGTTCGTTTATTGTTCTTCTGTTTGCTGATATTTGTTCTTCAATTGTTTAGATAGGTGTTTTTGGCGGTGGGAGGAATTCAATTTGTTGATTTTGATGGGAAAATCTGTATGTATAAAAATACGAATAAGTTAAGGAAAATATAAATAAAATTTATGATTATGTAATATGATAAATTTATTAGAATATATTTTTTATATATATGTGTTTACCTTGTCTTTAACGTTGTTGTTTCTGGGATGTCTGGGTCAATATAGAAAATTGTTGCTGATGTACTCGAAACATATGAGTTACCTAGAAATATAATAGAGTAAATAATATATGTATGCTATAATTTTTTATATATGTATATAAAAATGTTATAATAAAGTAATGTTAAAAATACCTAGATATTACTTCGTCAACATTGCTGAGAATACTGCCACAACTGGTGCCTTTAGTGTTTTAAGTACATTCTCATCAAATTGATCGGCTTTATGTCCCCATAGGCTTACCTGTAGTTGTTCATTTCTGTTGAAAAAATGTAGTTAATAAAAATGATTAATAAAATTGAATCATAAAAGTGGAAAAATATTGTATTCATGTTAAATAGTTGTAATGAATAGTAAATGTGAGGAAAAAATGCATAAATTTATTGTACCTGATGTTTTGTATCGTTATAGATCGCTGTGTTGTTGGTCTGGTGTTGACATGTGTATGTTCGAGTGCTTGGACACTTGTTAATACTCCAATAACATCTAATATTATATATAAATAGGGGAATTTTGTAAATAAATATTCAAGAAATATTTATAATAATAATAAAATAAGTTAAGTAACATATATTACCTGTTAATATCTCAATATTATTTATTCTTTGATATAGCTGGTCGAATTCTATGAAGTAGAATTTGTGAAATGGGATATATGGTGCGTCTTCCATAATTGGAGTAAAGGATATTGCTCGTGCAAATTGGATCATAGCATTGTGTGGAACGACTTTGTATGTAGGTTTATTTTCAGTAACATAAAAGTTACTAATATTGTATATAGTGCCATGTTCAATTTTTTGAGAAATATAGTCTGAATCACGTGCTTGAATTGTTCCCTGTATTGCTTTATGCTGTAAATAAATAATAAAGATAAAAAATTTATTCGATATTAACAAACATTATATAAAATAATATGTAATATAATATTTTAAAATTTTAGTATCTCTTCATCAACCAAAATACAGTCAAGGCTTATCAGACATCCTGTGACAAAATCGTTGTTTGTCCATATTCTGCATACTCGTGCTTGTATTGTTTCATACACTTCATTTGGTTTTAGTGCACGAATATGTGTTGTCATTTTCTGTAAGTCCAGAAAAAAGCAAATAAGATGTTGTTATAATGATAAATATTTTTATTGAGTTTATTGTTAAAAATGTTATACTCAACAAATTTTAATATTATGAAGAATATAAGATAGTATATATTTTTTATGTATTTATTTATGTGATGTTATGTAGGATTTCTTTGTAGACAATATTTTTTATATGATTAGCATAATTGTTGTTTGAATCATTAAGTAACATATGTAATCCTTTTAGATTAGTTACTCTGGATAAAGCAACATATAATTGACCATGGCTAAATATTTGATTTTCTAAAAATAGTCCAACTTTATTCAAAGATTGTCCCTGACTTTTATTTATTGTCATTGCGTAACATATTTTTATAGGAAATTGTCGTCTTTTTAAAAGTAAATGGCCATTTAGATTCATGTACAGTCATTTCTATTCTTGGAATATAAAATTTTTCAAAAATATTTTTTAAGTAATGATCTGTCATTCTATTATTTTATTTGTTAATTGTGTTATGATAAGTCTTGTTCCATTGCATAGTCCAGCAGATTGATTTAAGTTTCTTAAAAGCATTATTGGAGTTCCGAGTTTAAGATTTAGTTCATGTGGTGGTAAACCGTTGAAATTTAAATTGTGTAAAAATTCTTAAGGATATAAGAGATTTAGTTCTTCTATGTTTTCTGATGAAGGCATTATTGTATCATAACTATAATAAGTTTTTACCTCATTAGGTACTAAAGATAATATATAATTATTTATATCGTCAGCAGTTTTATTTTTCGGTGTTACAATTGCACGTTGTTTTAAGTAATCAATGTTATTAAAATTGTTGTTGAAATTATCGTATATTAATGTTGTCATTTTTTCAATTGGATCTAGGTCAAAATTTACAAAGTATTTTTCTGGTATTTTTATCCATGTAATATCTTCATTTTTTAAATATTTTATTCCTTCAGCAGTACCATTTCCTATATCTAATGTCCAATTTGAAAAATTTTCAATCTCCTTTTTTTTCTTAAGATGTTGTATTAAAATGTTTTAATCGCATATTTTCTGTTAATGTTAAAACTTGAAAGTGTGTCCATAAATAAGAATTATTTATGCATGCATCTATTATGTGTTCTTTTGTTCCTGTAGGTAAAACATGTAGGATTTGTCGAAAATCACCTCATAAAATAATTGTCATTCCACCAAATGGTTGATCAAAATTGTTTCGTAAATCCTGGAGTGTTTTATCTAATGCTTCAAAACAATATTTATTAGTCATAGGTGCTTCGTCCCATAAAATTAATGATGTTTTTTCAATTAAATGTGCTAATTGCGTTCCCTTTTTTATATGACATGCTGAAAATTTATCTATTGATAGTGGTATTCGAAATCTAGAATGTGCAGTTCTTCCTTTGGGCAATAATAGTGATGCTATTCCTGAAGATGCGACAACTAGAATTATTTCATTATTAGATCTAATTTTTGTTATAATTGTATTCCACAAATATGTTTTTCCAGTTCCTCCATGGCCATAAATAAAAAATAAGTTGTTTTGTTTATCAATAACGGATTCTAAAATTTTATAGTAAATAATTCGTTGTTCATTGTTTAAATTTTCTACTAATAAAGAATTTTCTATTTTTAATTTATTTATATCATAATTAAGTTCTTCTCTTAAAAGTTTATTGTTTAAATCATTTATTAGTGAACCAGTAGGAAGCGGTAGATTAAAATGAGCTAAAGTTGATGTGTTTAGATTTAATAATTTTTCTAGTTCATATAATATAAAATTATATAACTCATTTTCTGGTATTTCAAAATACGGGTTGTTAAAATTTTTTTTAATTTTGTGTAAGATATCATCAGTCATAACTTTTCAATTTTTTTCAAGTAATTTCAATGGGTTATTTACATTGCAAAATAACAATATAATAATAAATAGATGTCGTAGCTGTGACGATGTAGACCAAAAAGATGCTTCTAATATGGATTGTTCCCATTCTCTATCATCTCCTAATAAACCTAATGCATAACATGCTGCCTGGTATGTTCCATGTGTTATGTTATCAATAGTTCGAAGAGTTTCATAGCTTGTTATTCCTTTTCGATAATTTAGTAAAATAACAATATAATAATAAATAGATGTCGTAGCTGTGACGATGTAGACCAAAAAGATGCTTCTAATATGGATTGTTCCCATTCTCTATCATCTCCTAATAAACCTAATGCATAACATGCTGCCTGGTATGTTCCATGTGTTATGTTATCAATAGTTCAAAGAGTTTCATAGCTTGTTATTCCTTTTCGATAATTTAGTAATAATTTTAGATAATACAATTCTCTAGAGTTAGGATGAATATAATATGATCGGCCTATT